AACCATGTTGTTTATTCGCTGAAATCAATTCCAACAGACCGTACTTCGAACATCGAAATAATTCACTTCCGCATTGCGTTACCAGAAAGTTTTGTTTCAGTACAACACAGCATTCTGATTGGCAAATAACCGAATTGACCCATTAGGTCAAAGGACGCTGCTTCAGGTCAAATGCAAATGCATCATGGCGGAAAGTGATTTTCATCGAGAGTTTGCGTACGACCCAACACCTTCATCAGTGGAGATAATATGACAATTTTGACTTCGACTGTGTTCCAACAGACTCAAATGTTTTTAATTTCGTAAATTCTGGTGGTACGTAATTAATATTGTAATAAAATGTGCATATTTTTTGTGATCATTTCTGTTTCTTCATTGTGAAAATCAATGACGACTCAACTAATTTCGTAATTTGATTTTCCCTCAAAGACGTAATCTGTCACTTGATGAATCAAATTTTTCATTTGCACTCTTTTTCGAGGGGGGTGCTCGGGTAAGCACCCACCCCTAAAAAATCATGATTTTCTGAGTTGAGGCCCCTGGGCGCTAACGCGGTCGAGTACGGTAATATCTGGGTCAGGTCACTGTCATAGATGCAAAAGCATTGAGACATTTTTCCATTTATCGATGTTGTCACTCATTCAACTATAACACAGAATTGTTTGTTTTTTTCTCAATAGGATACTTTACAATACTCTATACATTCACTCAGCGGATAATATCCATCATTCCATCTTTCCACAATGTCAAAGTCGACCTGAAAGCAACTGTTTCTCCTTCTTGCGGTTTATTGACGTGGCACCATGTGAAATGAAGCGACTGATGTTGGCTGGTTTGCTTATTCAGTGGATAACAGTATTTACAGTGATGAAGGCAGCATACAGGGTATATCACCAGAGGAACTGGGTTGAGGAACGTAATTACAGAACCAGACACAGTCCAATGAAGAAAACTTCATCAAAGTAAGTTGACAGGGGCTTGTAGATCCAACTTCTGTGCACGTATGCGTCCCTGTATTTTAAACATGGCTTGCCTGATCATGTACAAACATGCAAATGCATTTTAATGTTTTTTATGACTCGATTCAGGAAGGTTGAATGGGGGACCATCTTAGTGATGACAATGCATCAATATGCAGCATTTTTACCAGTCCGGAATTTGAGATCTCAATCGTGCAAAGACAGATTTTGTTCAAACTAGGTACATACATTGAGCATCATGGTGCCTAACTACCTTAATCCCTGTCATTTAGTTTGTATAATATTTTCTAAATAGCTGACTTTCCGCCATTTTGACTGAATGCTCTCAAACTTTACCCATTCATCATGTCGCTCATATTGACAAGTCTATTTGTGTCACGTTATGATCTAAAATGGCTGACTCGTTTCAGTTTCACCTTACATAAGTAAGTTTATTATTCATTCAGCATTCAGCGGTAGCATAGTAGTTATTGTGTCAAACTCATGATTGGTAGAGTGTAGTTCAAATGCTACCTACCGGTAAATTGGTTATTCTCTACCCTTGTGAGCATGATGCAGACCCAAGGTCAAATCCACTGGCCAAGATCTATTCGCTGACAGATGATATTCTTCTGGGAACCTAAGTTAATGTCTGTAAGTTCTTGTGTTCGACCAAGCCTCGTTGATGCCAGGATAGCGCATTATGATGTCATTTGATAGAGAGATTGCCATACACCTTTATCGCATCTCACTGCTGTTACGCATGCTGTGATTGGTTGAGACTCGGTCACATGACATGGAATAAAAATGGATATTACATGGTATATTGCCCGCCAAGTGGATATTACATAGGTATATCACATGGATGACGTCACTGAACTACTGCGCAACGCTACTGCGCATAACAAATTGTCGTTCGCTGCACTGGTGATGCTCTGGCCGCTGTTGCTTTCGGGGTTGCTTTCAGGGTTTTGAAGGAACTTTAGCCATCCGAAATAGACAGTGAACGTGCCAGAATGGATATTAAGTAAGATATTCTGTTTTGATGTATAGAGTATTTTTTATATGGAGCAAAAATGTACGGCAAAACCGCCACTGAAACGTCGCAGCCGGGGTCGCTGCAGCGCGTTCTACGCTGTAAGCATTTCTACACGTTTCACGCCGATGCTAACCGAAAACGCTCTAAACAAAGCTGTGTGGCTTGTGAATAGGTGTGGTACGTTCGTGAGAAGGTAAATTCAGTCATTTCCACGCCTTTTTTATCTGTAGAGTGATCAAATAATTTCTCAATTCATTTCAAAAAGTTATTCTCGATAATTTGAGTGATTCACACTGCTAAAACACGGTTCAACTTAAAAGAGTATCCATGGCTGAAAATAACATTTACTGAGTGTATTTCGTTGTTTTTTTCAGCAAACAATGTATGTATGCTATTGAGTAATGTTAAACTTGTTGTAATAGATAAAATAAAATATTGCATACTTCATATATAAGTGTTGTTATTTTGTGGGAGAGCGGGTGTGAGTGATATATGGTAGCTGTGATTGTCATGGTGAATGTCCGATGTGATAAAATAAATAACACATAGTTATTCGATTAATATCACGATTTGTTGTATGCCCTCGGGCTGTTGGTCATG